AAGACCCTAACCACGTATCGGGCTCCGATACCAACCTCACGCCCAACGCGACTTCCTGATCGGAGTGGGATGCGGGGCCTGGAAGTGCGAAAAGGGGTGTGCCAAGGATTTTTGGGAAAGTGGGGGAGTCTTAAGGATATGATTGCAATTTGGCGAAAAAGGGGCCGGTGCACTGTGGGCGACGGTTTGCAGGGAAATCCCTCCGCGGTGGAGGCGGTCCCGAAAAGTTAGGCCGACGGGGGCCGCCACGTGGCGCAGGTCGCCGCGTGCCTGGGTTGAGTCTTCGGAATTTCGGAGTTCTCTTTTCGCCGCTACGTCGGCAATTCACACAAAACGTGTTGGGCCAATAGGGGGCTATGGCTGGCCACGGAACAACACTAAGTTGATGATACGGGAGAAGAAGGCGGAAAGGAGGGAAACTGATGGTGATCTGAACGAATCCCGGGTGGGTGAAGTAGTAGGTGTGGTCGGGGGAAGGGAAATCGGAGCACCGAGGGTCGCTAGTGGTGGCACAGTGGAATTCTCGCAGACATAGCCGATTCTCCGTGTGACAAGGGTATCGCGTCCTTATGAGCTCGTTTATTATAAGGGTGAAATAGTCCCGGTCATAGGACGAGTCTGAGCCCCAAGATCGCGTCATGGTATCATTGCCGATGGGATTGCGCAGGTCGGGATATCGTCACCGCGCACGAGCGCGTGTAGGACAGGCCGTGTTAGTGGCGCCTCAGCGTGCTAGCATGGGATGACGGTTCCGCCTCAAATCTTTTTGGGTGGGTGAATCGACGTACGGGAATGCGTGTAAGGGCGCGACTCGGGCCGCGTTTACACATGTTCTCGCGTGGCGTTCGTGGGGCCAGACCTCGGATCGTTTTAAATGCTTCGGATTATGCAAAATGCAACCATATCACAACTCTCATCGCGAGACAAGCAAAAACGAGAACAAAATCGCTATCGGGGCGAGATTCTTATCCCATCTTCAACTGCATCAGGTGTGGGCAAAGATTTGTTACAAACGAAAAGCAAGGACAGAGGTTCTTAGCAAACCGATATACAAGCAGACGTAACGTCCACACATCCACACATTCATACATCCACGCATTCGATAATCATATACATAATGTAAACAAAAGCGGACATCGCAAAGACAACTGTGATAAAAAATCCAAGCCCGGATTTCAGAAAACCGAAACGAAAATAAGAACGGGCAAACCGCCCGGAGCCGTAATCAAAATGTATGTTTACAGGTGAAGAGGGGGGGGGGGGG